CTATTCTAATGGTCCCGTCGGAAAATAGCCACGGATGTCCGTTGGAATTTCTGTTGATATATCCCGACGAACAAATCCGTTGGAATTCCGTTGAAAATATACCACGGAAAAACCGTTGGAAATCCGTTGAAATATTCCAACGGATGAAGGCGTTGGAATTCCGTTTGGAATTTGCCACGGAATTCCAACGGACACCGATTTCTAACGACGAAATTCCAACGGATATATCCGTTGGAAATCCGTTGGAAAAGTTGAATTCCAACGGATTTTCGACTATTTCCAACGGATTTGCCGGTTGGAATTTGGAGTTTTTTTTGTAGTGATCATTTGATGAGAATTCAGATGATACATCTTTTAGTAATTCATTTTCTCCTCAAGAACTATTTAGAATAAATTATTTTTTTATGTATTATTGACCAAGCACTTAGTTCATTTAATAGGAGGTTTGAACAATATCAAGAATATGAAAATGTTTTTGGTTTCTTATTTACTTCAGAAAAATTGCATTTTTTAAATGATACTAATTTAAAATGTTATTGTGATACATTTGAAAATGCTCTTAGAAAAGATGAACAATCTGATATTGATGGAAATGAATTATATATGGAATTAAAATTATTGAGAGAAGTTTTACCTAAATAAATGATGAAACCTATTGATATTTTAAATTTTTTGAAATGTATGGATTGTTTTCCTAATGTAATGATTGCTTATAGAATTTTATTAACTATTCCTGTTACTGTTGCATCTGCAGAAAGAAGCTTTTCTAAGTTGAAATTATTGAAGTCTTATTTACGTTCAACAATGTCTCAAGAAAAGCTCAACGGACTAGCATTACTCACAATAGAAAATGATTTTTTAGAGAAAATTGTTTATGAAGATTTAGTTGATAAATTTTCTATAAATAAAGCTAGAAGAACTGTCTTATTTAAATGAATGTTTAATATTTTTATTAATTTAGTTCATTTGTATATTTTGTTATATTAGATATGTTTGTATCATATTTAAAAAAATAATATAATATTTGATTTTTAATTATATTTTAATATTATTATTTTTTATTATATTAATTAATAATTTTTTATTGTAATATGTACAGGGCCTCTAAATTTTGTGAGACGGCTTGTACATACGGATATATATATTTTTGGATATCCGTCTTTTAATCACGGATACTCGTTAGATATCGGATATCCGATAAAAATAGATATAACAATTTTATAAGATCTATAAAAAAATGAAAACGGTTAGCTCTTAAAACGCTGATAACGTACCGTACCCACCCTACTAATAAGAATATAATTCTAAAATTGGAATTATATCCCTAATATTTTCCTATTAACTTCGATACTTCATTATATTTCGCGTAGAAACTTTCCACGTACTCTGATCACAATACTGTCACATATAATTTCAATATAAAATGGATTATTTTATTTTATTCTTCGTAACATTACACCTGACGCATACGCGAACGTGATCCATAGTCTCCACGTGTCAACGTGTTAAAAGCCCTCGTGCCTTTACTAAACAAGAATGCAGCTAATGACAGGGCTGTTACCTTCTACCGGGAACGTCGTCACCTCACGATCGTCCCTCTTAACTCATCCAACGGCTATAATTGGGCTGTCGATAAATAGTAATATCACAGACCGTTACGGAATAAAAGATGTTGTCGGCGGAGACCTAGATACTCCTATGAAGCAAATCATTTATTCTCCTGTAGTGGCATAATGGCATTTCTTCCATACCACAGCTGAGTTTGTGCGCATCTGTTCTTCCTGGTAAGTCCAATGGTGTTTTGGCCGATTATTAGATTCTGGAGTTAGGAATTTCTTGATTTTTCGTTCGGTTTCATGATCTGGTTTTGTGTGATTTCTATGATCTATTGAATCTTCGCGTTTGCAATCTCAATATCTCGCGGAACTGCTTTTGTGTTGACACAGTCCGGTTGACATTGGAGCATTTCCCAGAAATTCGAAAGAGTTTGGTTTCTGTGTAGCGATTCCTTTGAATCTTATGTAATGTCAGCGTGTCCTTGTTGATCTTTGTGTTGATTGAAGAGGGTGTGTCCGAAATCTGTCGCGGTTTAAGCTGATTCAGCCTCTAAGTGTGTTGATGTTTGTTTCAATCCATTTTGGTGCCATGTTCATTTTCTTGTTATGGAAATGGACATGGCATCTTTCTTGCAACCTCAAATAGTTTTCCTTGCCCAAAGTTGAAAATTTTCGAAAATTTTAAGGATTATGGTTATTATTCTGTATTGACGGGAAATGACTCTGGATTCATGCGATTTTAGGTTTGTGAATTGATAATTGAAAATATCTCACATTTGAGATGATCATTGAGGGACTTATCGGTTGTGGTTTCAGTGTCTGGTTGGTAAGACATTGTCTCTGATTTCGTGTTTCTTGGTGAAGTTAGATTAGCTTTGAAACATGGCTGAGGCTACACCTGTTGCTCCCAACGCTGAGTCGTTGGAATGGCCAAAGAAGGATAAACGGCGATTCCTCCATGTCGTCTATCGAGTTGGTGATCTTGACCGCACCATCAAGTATTACTTTGTATCTCTTTAATTTTATTCATCCATAATCACGAAAAGATAGAAACTTTTACCAATGGAACAATCTTTGTTTTATTCGTCCATAACCACGAAAAGAGTGGAACTGTTAGAGTAATCTGTTGAAGATTATATTATATATATTCAAAGGATGATGGAGACGATCGAGAGGATCATGCATCTAATTGTTGCTCATCACTTATGTTGAAGCAATCATATCAACGAGGCTTGCCATATATAAATTTGGCATATGATGACATGGCATTGGTGAGTTGGCATGCATGTGTCCGTTGGAAAATATTCTGAGCAATTAATAAGGATACCAATGGAGCAATCAAGCACTAACTAAATCATCCCAAATGTTGACAAGTTTCTATATAATGCATAAATATATTTTGGGCTTTAATTATTTCCTTACATAGAGATTTATATCCGTTATCACTTTGATAGTTTTGCCTTGTTGGCATCCTTTGTATAGATTATAAAAATGTAAAGATGCGTGTAAATCATTCAAGAAATAAGGAAGGGACTTAGTCCCCTTTTGTTCATGAACTTTCGGCCATCTTCTTTTCCGACCGATTCCAAGCCCGTCTACTTTATTCTACAACCACAAACACACAAATTATATAAAATTCTACATGGTATTAGAGCACTACGATCTAAGGTGCCACAAGTCTAGTTTTCCGCTGCAAACACCAAAGAAAATTCCCTTCCGGAATCCATTAAAACCGAGAAGGAGCCTGCTCGTGTTATTTGAAAATTTTGCCTCTTTTAGGCTATTCTTTCAAGCCAAAGAGATTCGTTTTTTTTATCCTTATTCATCCGCCATATACATCCCTAAAAGGTCACATGAGGTGTACTTGGGATGATCTTGATGGCTTTGAAGATGAAGAAGGAAATCATTGTTCATACATCGAACATGCTAACGGTGTTGTAGAACAATATTGGTGTACCAAAGAAGAGGTTGACGCATGGAATAAGCTCTCCATAGAAGAAGTTCAAGCCATGTGTGTAGATGACGAACCATATGGGGAAGAACAACACGATGGAGAATGGGATGTCGAAGACATCCTAAATCAACTCCCTCTGCAAATCAAAGAGGCGTTGGTGCAAACGACCAATGCAAACAACTTTGAGTTAAGTGTCTCTCTTCTTGAAGATTTGTTTAACACTAATGAGTTTTTTGAAATGATGCAAAAAGCACAGGTTGAAAGCAAAGAAAATCTATCTCAAGTTGTTAAAAAGGACGAAATGGATGGAGAACTGCAAATCGACGACAAATACCATGAGGAGGACCGAGACTTGGATGCAATAAACTCGGAAAAAGAAGGAATAGAAACGGATGTGACAGTGAATGACCCCACAGTGGAGGCAATGAGCCCCGAAGAAGAGGCATCACATGCATCTGCCATCATTCCTCATCCAATCATAATAGAGAATCCGAACATCTCCTTCACATGGAGAGAAAACCGAGTTTGTAGTTTCTTTTATTCTCCCGTTTCATTTGATTTTTATGTTCCCAATATATTTGGTGTTTTTAGTGTTTATAACCAGAAAATACAACAAAGAATCACGAGGTTTTATGGAGTTGAGAAGCTCACGAGTGAGGGGGAATGGCATGACACACTCGTATGCTTCTCTACCGAAAAAGATATGAGTTTTAACAACTCTAGGTATGGTAAACTTGTCTACGATACTTTTGTTTTTGATCCCGGTGAAAATAAATATGAATTGCAGGATGAAAATAACTACATAGATATTAATAATATGATTAAGCTCATATGTGACATACATGAAAACCAAGCTAAAATATTTGAAACACTCTGTAATAACTCGACGTATCACAAAATATTAGCATATAAACTTAGTTTTAAACATATTAGGAGTCTTTTTCTTCTTTTATTTGATAAAATGAACATACTTACAATTTTAATTTTATTTGTTATCAAATGGAGTGCCACGGCCTCCTTTGTGTTTGCTAATATTTTATTTGAGTTGATACAGGAAAAAAAAATTCAAATCAATGGAACCGACATGGAAGAAGATGAAGATGAAATGCTCGAGGACATCCCAACACAATCATTAATACATTCAATCTTCAAGATTAGTTTTCCGACATTTCTCCAAACTAATCTTGAGGGGGAATGTTGAAGATTACATTATATATATTCAAAGGATGATGGAGACGATCGAGAGGATCATGCATCTAATTGTTGCTCATCACTTATGTTGAAGCAATCATATCAACGAGGCTTGCCATATATAAATTTGGCATATGATGACATGGCATTGGTGAGTTGGCATGCATGTGTCCGTTGGAAAATATTCTGAGCAATTAATAAGGATACCAATGGAGCAATCAAGCACTAACTAAATCATCCCAAATGTTGACAAGTTTCTATATAATGCATAAATATATTTTGGGCTTTAGTTATTTCCTTACATAGAGATTTATATCCGTTATCACTTTGATAGTTTTGCCTTGTTGGCATCCTTTGTATAGATTATAAAAATGTAAAGATGCGTGTAAATCATTCAAGAAATAAGGAAGGGACTTAGTCCCCTTTTGTTCATGAACTTTCGGCCATCTTCTTTTCCGACCGATTCCAAGCCCGTCTACTTTATTCTACAACCACAAACACACAAATTATATAAAATTCTACATAATCCTGTTACAAATATTCATTTGGTTATCCAAAATCTTCTCATATTTTGGTTGCTTTTTTGGTCATCAGATTCTACACTGAGTTATTTGGGATGAAGCTTTTGAGAAAAAGAGATGTTCCGGAGGAAAAATATGCTAATGCTTTTCTTGGGTTTGGACCAGAACAATCGAACTTTGTTGTGGAGCTGACATACAGTATCTCTTCTTACTCTCATTATCTTCCTTAGTGTCAGCACTGCCAGGTCATTCCTGCATCGCCTTTGGACTTTTCCACCACTTGCATAACTCGGTTTTTTTCCTGCATCGACTTTAAGATTGGCCGCACTTGCTGAATTAGTTGTGTAAACTAGGAAGGTAGTTAATCTGTGTAAGATGTTTCATAAATTCTCTCTTTCTTTGTGTTTTCATCTACATTACATTACAATATATTTGCATTTAAAAAAGCTGATACTTTTCACTGTTTTGAGATATTTTTTACAATGGAAATTCTTCGGCAGCTATTTGGTGAAACTGTGCTTTGTATTAGATTATTTTGCTAAGTAGCCAAGCTTGAACAACTTCTACAGTTAGAGAAGGGGCGTCCTAATGTTTTAATGTCAGTTGGTAACGTTCTAAAGATTTGACCTTTTTATTTTTATAGACTACGGAGTTAGCTCATATGATATTGGAACTGGATTTGGGCATTTCGCGATTGCAACTCAAGATGTAAGTCATTCAGATTGGCTTGAATCCATGCCTCCGAAATGGTGGTAACAGATAGACGAAACCGTGCCTTGTAGGTTTACAAAATGGTCGAGGACATTAGGGCAAAGGGCGGCAATGTCACCAGGGAGCCTGGTCCGGTCAAAGGCGGAAGTTCTGTCATTGCATTCGTAAAGGATCCCGATGGTTACACTTTTGAGCTCATCCAAAGGGGTCCAACCCCCGAACCATTCTGTCAAGTGATGCTCCGCGTTGGTGATCTCGAGCGCTCCATCAAATTCTATGAAAAGGTAAATTTTTTAGAAGATTTTTTTTTTTTTTTCATGTTGTGCCCATCTTCGAAATCATCTATGAAAAGGTAACTTTTTTTTAGAATATTATTTTCATGTTATGCCCGGCTTTCAAATCATTGTAATTGTCTTGGTCAAGTTTCCTAAATCTTCTCGTCGGCTCACTATAATGCGAACTTTTGTTTGCCATATCCTATAGGCTCTGGGGATGAGCCTACTGAAGAAGACCGATAGACCTGAATACAAGGTGAAACTAGTCGGTGAACAAACATTGTTTATCTATAATGGAACAATGTCTAATATAGTTTCAAGTGACTAATAATCATAGCCGTCATGCGTTTCCTTTCTGAAAATGAGAAATTAGAGTGCCCTTCTAAGGATGTAAAGAGTTGCATTGTTTTCTTATACAGTACACTGTAGCCATCATGGGTTATGTTGAAGAACACGAATCAACAATCTTGGAGCTGACTTATAACTATGGCGTGACTGAATATACAAAGGGCAATGCTTACGCACAGGTTAGGATGGCAAATTGTCTTCTGTTACTCTCTCTCTCTCTTCTCTCTCTCTCTCTGTCTTTTAAATTTTAATCCAAGGTTTGGTTTCGTGTCCGTTATGCCTTTCTCATATCCTTACATTAACTGTCAAATTTGTAATAACAGATAGCTATAAGCACTGATGATGTCTATAAAAGTGCGGAGGTTGTCAAGGTGGTTAACCAAGAGCTAGGAGGAAAAATCACCCGAGAACCTGGTCCTCTTCCTGGACTCGGCACCAAGATTACCTCTTTCCTTGATCCCGATGGCTGGAAAACCGTAAGTTTCTGTTTTTCGTCTCGGCTTTTTCTTTAGGATGAAGATTTTGCACCTAAGTAAGTAACCTTGTATGAAACTGAAATGGTACTACCCTTTGTGAAACACCTTTTCATTGCGCAAAGCTTTGCATGCTTAGCCGAAAACTGAACCGAGATTGAGATTCAGTTTGCTAAACCGAAAACCGAACCGAGATTCAGTCTGGAAACCGAAAACTGGGGTTGGCTCTTTCCAGTAGAACACTACAAGAAAAACTGAAATTTGCGACACCTGTTGCGACCGAATTTTTAGTCGCAATAAATTTGCGACAGACCGCGACTAAAAAGCGACACAATCACGGAAAAATATCTCTGTCGGTTTTGGACGCAAAACCTGTCGCAAATTTCCGACCGTTTGCGACCGTTATATCTGTCGCACATAGTTGCGACCGAAATACGACGGAACACGACAGATAATTTACGACAGATGGTCTGTCGGTATGTACCGACACAGTATGCGACAGATATGTTCGGTCGGGCTCCGTGTACGACACATTTGCGACAGATTTTATGCGTCGCTGCGTATTGCGACCGATATGCGACACACTTTAGGAGTCGCTCAATATGTGCGACTGACTTGCGACTCACCGAATGTGTCGCAAAATTAGGTACACACGTGAATGGTATGTCACCTAACTTTTGTCGCAATTCTGTCGC